AGGTGAGTTGGGCTGAGAGAGAGTGACTGGCCCAAAGTCACCCAGCCGGCTTTCATGCCTAAGGCAGGACTAGAACTCACACTCTCCTGAGTTCTAGCCTGATGTCTTAACCACTAGACCAAACTGGTTCTCTACTAATTTTCTACCAATGACTACCTAAAATCATGGGTAATGGAATTTGACATAATGGGGGCCATCTGTACTAATTTGTAAGGGTGCCTACTTACATAGAAGCTGCACTGCATTCCTCTCTACTCCCTCATAGCTTACCATGGAAAGAACTGTAGCCTTGGCATTTATATAGCGCTTTTCCTAAATGATTAACATATATTTTACAGACTCTTGTGGGATATCAAAAGGAACTACAGAATCTAATATAGGATCTTCTGACAAATGGGAAGGCCCAAAACTGTCTGAAAAATACCTAAGAGAGCCAGTTTGGTCTAGTGGTCAAGTGCTGGCCTAGAAACCAGGAGATTGTGAGTTGTAGTCCCGCCTTGGGCATGAAAGCTGGCTGGGTGACTTTGGGCCAGTCCCTCTCACTCAGCGCAAGTCACCTCACAGGGTTGTTGTTGTGGGGAAAATGGGAGGAGGAAGAAGTATTAGGCATGTTTGCTGCCTTGAATTGAATGTGTGTGTGTGTGTGTGTGTGTGTGTGTATGTGTGTGTGTGTGTAAGGGGGATAAAAACCCCAATAATAATAATTCTAATAATAATAAAGATTTTTAATCAAACATCTTTTTTATTAAAATATACAAATCATATAATCATTGTATCCCTTATTAATATTTATGCAATTGAAATATTTAGTTATATAAATTTCATTCTCACATAATATGCAACCAACAAGTTACAAACAGAATATTTAAGTCTTCCTAAGGAAGCTACAATCTATCAACTGTAGCTACTGTGGCATAGCAGTTAAAGTGCTGGACTAGGACCAGGAACCCATTTAAATCCACTCTCAGCCATAGAAAGACAATGGGTAAATTTGGGCCAAACACTATCTTTGAGCACAACTTAGCCCACAGTTCAATTTTAGAAACTATACAACCACTCAGATTATAATAATGTGCATACAGTAGATCAGTTGCTTTAAATAACTCACCAGATTTCAAGTATAATATATCGTCTGCATGAAGGCTTCTGAATACCTCTTTTCCACTAACCATATGGTACCGCCCCTGTGAGAAGACTACACCAGTACAAACAGTTCTCTCAAAAATGCAGTCCTCCTGAGCAGATTGCAAAGTGGAGAAACTCTTAGGCAATACATTTTCCCTTTGTGTTATTATGTGGCCTTTATATTTCTCAAATATGTTCACATCTGTATACAGAAAATAATTATAGACCATCATTATTAATATTATTAAATTAATTAAATTTGTATGTCACGTGAGTCCCAATAACTCTGGGCAGTTCACAAGTAAAAACATTAAAAAGAAGAAAAAAAATACAATAACAGACAAAAATAAAAGAATACAAGGTGGCAAGATGACAAAAACCAGATAGGAATGAGAGAGAAGCAAACCTACTCAATCCAAAGAGGGACTTCACTCACCCTCACCAAAGGCCTGGGCAATGAGCACGTCTTCAAGGCCCTTCAAAACACCAGCTGGGTGGGAACTATCTGGATCTCAGGGGGGACCTCATCCTAAAAGGCAGGTGCTGCTACAAAGAAGGCGTGCTTCTGGGGTCCTGATAGATGGCATTGTTTAATTGAATGAAGCTGGAGTACACCAACCCTGCCAGATCAAACTGGCAAGGGAGACACATGGGAGATAAGCAATCCCTCAAGTAATCAGGCCCTATGCCAGGTAGGGCTTTATAGGTAACAATCAGCATTTTGAATCACACCAGGAAGCAAACTGGCAGACAGTACAGCTTGCAAAGCAAAGGTGTTGTATGGGCATACCGAGGCCTGCGTTCTGAACCAGTTGAAGCTTTCGGATGGTCTTCAAGGGCAGCCTCAGGTAGAGCACGTTGCAGTAGCAAGCCATGAGCGACTGTCTGAAGGGCCTCCTCATCTAGAAAAGGGTGCGACTGACGGACCAGATGAAGCTGTACAAAGGCCTTCCTGGCCACAGCTGCCACTAGCTCACTTAGCGGGAGCTGTGAGTCCAGGAAGAGCCCCAGATGATAATGTCCATCAATGTTACCATTATTCAAAGCCACAGATTTAAGATAATAAAAGTGTCAGTTGATCTACATCAAAAAACAGTATAAAACTGGTTTATTTTGTTGCCTGTATGCACAATATTTAGGGTTTTTAGTTTTTTATGGACTTATTTAAAATAATCCCCCAACCTCCCAACACCCACTGATAATTATCCTTACAATATGTAGCTTTTGTTATGTTAAAAACAGAAAATTCATATTAAGAACATATATACTTGAAAAACCAGAATCTGGAAATTATTTAATGAAGACTAAAATCAATGTAATTTTCATTTTATAAAGTTATATATGGAGGCATTTTATGTTAACAATTATGCAGGTACAGATAAATAATCTACAAAAGATATTTATTTATTTATTTGTTTGTTTGTTTACTTATTTATTTATACATCACATTTATATAGCCACTCATCTCACACAAAGTAATTCTGGGCAGCGATCCCTCTAAAATAAAGGACAACAATTTCCCTAGATAATAAAGAAAGCTCTCTAAAGGTCCAAAGAAAATAATGGAAGCCAATAATGACTATTGACATAACTGTGCTCCACCAAAATAAATACAACCTACAGATGAACTAAATATACTGCATAGCAATGGTTTCTGAAAAAAATAGAAATGATTTTCTGAATTGCAGCTGAGCAACTGAAGAATAAATAAATTATAAATAGATGAACTAGCATTTATAATTTAAAAATACACAGAAAAACAATCCTAACCATTTTGCCACCAGCACATAGGATAAAGAAAGGTTCCTTTCTTCAGCTAATATTTATATAGGGATAGTTTCATGTGTTTATTCCCTACCATCACTGAGAATTCAGTAGTTTTGTTTTCTTATAATTCAAACCTGATGATTTAGTTACATGTAAAGCCCATATTTCTTTGAATATATAAACCATAGGGAGGTAAAATCAGCTGTATCATGTGTTCTTCTCATGAAAAGTGACATATACAAATGTTATACAAGAAGATATGCGAACAGTTTTCTTTCATTTTCCAACCTTTTTTTCCAGATAAGCAAACTGGCTGGAAAAGGGGGGAAAGGATAGATAAGAATAAATAGCTGATACTTGCCTTCTTGTCTTTTACATATAAAATGAAACTTTTCATTGCACTTTGCAGACTGCAGTGCTAATGATCTTTGGATAAGTGTACCACAGCTATCAAGTGTGCCTCCTTCTATTTGTAACCTGAAAACAAATAAACCACATCTTAAATTGGAAAATATAACCCATTGCATCCCAATTTACTAATTTGTTTTAAGGAATACTCCTCCCAAAATAGGATAAGATACTGGACAAGAATCTCATACTCCTATCTGGTGCCTAGAAAGAATTCCATACACACAAGTTCCACTAATTTCATCCTTATTTTACTCTAGCTTGACAACTTGTGAAGGCACCCCTCTACAATATTTATTTATCAAACAGCAAGATGCAGAAAACTGATGCGGAAAACAGCAAGGTGCAGAAATCTAACTTCCTGTGAAGAAAAATACTTATTCAACAGTTTGAGCCACTAAATATTTTTGTCTCACTATTAAGACTCTACCTCTCTTTTTTTCTTACCACTTCTATTGGTACATGCCCTCCTTTTTCCTTCCACATTTTGGCCTAGAGAACACCAGATCTAAAACCTATAGACTTCATTTCACTGCAAAACAATTATACAAAACATTGAAACTATTTGTGAAAATGTATAACACCCACTGGCCTTATTTACTTTTCCAAACACCCTATATTATGAGTTAGTATTGGCACGCTGCATGCAGCCTCACAGGGATCTTTGCCATCTCTGCCCTATCCAGGTATGTCAAATAGTGGGGAAAATATATAAAAAACTGGCAGAAAAGTTTTAGGACAGTTTTTAATTTTTTTTAAGTGCTACAAATAAAAGTGAGGAACCTCTATAAGGGCTAAAGTTTTTTTTTAAAAGAAGTTTTCGAAAAAATCTCCTGCCACAAAACTAAGTAAGAAAAATGTCCCATACTATTGCCATATTCCTTTTAGCCCTTAGAAGCTGAAAAGAAAATATAACCTCAGGATGAAAATATCACCCTCCTCTCTCCTAAACACAGTCAGCATCGGAAAATTGTAGCCTTTGGGCTGTATGAACCCACATTCTACAATGTGTGTCCAGATCACCCCAAGGCTATATCATTAAAATTTGATATCTATCTATCTATCTATCTATCTATCTATCTATCTATCTATCTATCTATCTATCCATCCATCCATCCATCCATCCATCCATCCATCCATCCATCCACACATATACATACATACATACATACATATATACATGTATAGCTGCCCATCTCACATCTGTGACTCTGGGTGGCTCATACACCAAACAATAAACAAAACACAGATATCAATAAAACAATAACTCCCTTAAAACCATAAAACATAATAAGCAGGCAAATGCAAGTCATATGTCAATCTATATAACCACCTAGTAGGCTCCAGACAACAACCAGTTCCCCAGGTATGATGACAAAGCCATGCCTTCAGAGCCGTTCAAAAGGCAAGCAGGGTCAAGTCAATCTAGCCTCCAGTGGGATGATGTCCCATCATATGGCACTCCTTAATAGATGGGACCCATAACATGCCTCTTCTGCCCGACCTGATGGGACAGGTAGATCTAATTGGGGAGAGGTGGTCCCTCAAATAACCCAGCCCCATGCCATGTAGGGTTTTATAGATCATTACCAGCACCTTTCACAACAAAATGGCAAATTCTTAAAGAGATGGGCGTACCAGACCACCTTACCTGTCTCCTGAATATGTGGGCCAAGAAGCAACAGTTAGAACCGGTAACGGAACAACCGATTGGTTCAGAATAGGGAAAGGAGTACGACAAGGCTGTATACTGTCACTCTGCTTATTTAACTTATATGCAGAGTACATCATGA